TTGGTACACTTAGCTGTTGTTGTCGTTGTTGTCGTATCCTTGGTAAACTTCACCACCAGTTTGGTCGTCCCTCTCCTCACAACCTTCCATTCCCCAGAGTATCGTCATTCACGGGCTTTTCTTATCTCGTTTCTTCCTTCATCATCGCCTCCTCTTCCTTTAATTTCAAGTTTTCTTCCTCTATTTTCAGGTTTTTTTCCTTTGTACTCTCTAACTCAGCCCACAGAAGGGCGTAACCCCGTTCCCAAGTAGCCCTAGCCATATCTGATAATTATCCCAGGGAGCAGAGCTAAGCAGCCGTGACCTTTCCTCTAGTGAGGTCACAACACATTTCAGCCGAAACAGGTCGGTGTGACGGTATCGTGACACTGGAACGGACATATTCACAAATCTAGCACTCACAATCACTGACACCTCGAGAATACGCAGTCTTCCCGTAAAAGTACTGAACTGTCTTAAATTTGCTACAGGTCCACGTAGTGACCTTGGCTGCTGCGGAGCGCCAGGGGACACGTCCTCACTCAGTGAGGTCACTAACATATGTGTGTGTGTTTGTGTGTGCTTGTGTGTGTGCGTGTGCGTGTGTGTGTGTGTGTATATGTGTGGCTGGGTGTGTGTGTGTGTCTGTGTTTGTGTGGTGGGGTGTGTGTGTGTGTGTGTGTGTGTGTGTGCAGGAAAATATCAAACACAGACAGAAATTCAGACACAGAAGAGGAGAGAACTTTATAATGACAAAATATAATAATTCTGTAAATGTACACCCCCCACCACACCCTGCTGCCAACGTGCTTTATATAACTACGATCTACTTATATAACTAATATCTACTATTAACAACTTCAGTATCATACACGACAAGACCTACGATTAACAACTTCAGTATCATACACGACCAGACGTACGAGTAACAACTTCAGTATCATACACGAACCGACGTATGATTAACGTTCTCAATGTATTTCTGGATCGACAAGTATGTGTGTGCGTGCGAGGCGACAGTCAGGAGAAGGCAGTCGAAGGCCCTCACAATGAACGAAATTGTACCCAGATCAAAGTCTAGGATATGTGAATGAAATTTTAGACCAACTCAAACCACTTGGCTGCTGCGACTCACTTCTTCAGGCATACCGAATTATTTCGTTTAAAGGTTATATATAACTACTCTGAGGACGATCTCGACACCATTTTTAGAGGGTACGTTGCCTATCTGTCAGGATGAGTAGTAACTTTGAGGCTTCATTGGATTGGTGGTGGTTCATTTGGGTTTAGTTAGTGTTTCGGGTTAGGTTCGAGTTGGTCTCTGAGTTTAGTTGAGAGGTGTGTGAGGGTTGCTGATACGAGTCACACAGCAGCTGCGGTTGAGGCAGCCTGGGTCGCCCTCGATAATCGTGTATGGAGGGAGAGTATTTACGCTGTATTTCATCTGTCTCCGTTACTAAAGAGGTATGTATCCAGTGTGGCATTTCAATTGTGAAAATAGTATTATATCGAATCAAGAGGACATGGTGGTTGTTGCTAGGTATTAAGTAGGGTGACTAGTTTTTGCAGTTAACAGGTGTACTGGAGCAGAGGTGGCTGTCCTGGAGACCGGTGTTGTGGCCTGGCTGGGAGCTGTCTCTCGTCGTGTTGTGTCGACGTATACACCCAGTGTCATTCCAACAAATGCTAATCAATTCGGCAGGTACTAATGAAGCTCGAGATTGAGAAGATCGGATACAATACGTTAGTCTGTGAACTAAGATTCCTACCTTTGCAAATAGAACAGCTCCAACTAAGGAACGAACCAAGCGGTAGTTAGGTCTCATTGTCGGGTAAAAATTACTTGTTTGTGCACATACAAATTTATTTTATATACATTTATGTTGTATTTGTTTTAGAGTAAATAAATGTTTAATTTCTTTTGTCTTGTTTATCCATACGGTACCATACAGACACTCTCTCTGAGAGAGAGTGTCTGTATACATTGCCAGTATTTGTTTTTTTCAATATTAAGCACGCTGCACTTGCTGGTGTTTAATTTAATTTGCCATTTTCTGACCACTCTTGCAGTTTATTTAAATCCTCTTGAAGTGCATTTGCATCCTACCCTGAATTAATCTACCGCCCTATTTTGGTGTCATCCGCAAACTTGCTTATGTCACTGCTGATCCCAGTATCTAGATCGTTTATGTAGATTATGAACAAGAGTGGACCCAGTACTGATCCCTGGGGAACCCCACTGGTTACACAGCCCCACTCAGATTTAACACCATCTACGCTGACCCTCTGTGATCTATCGGTGAGCCATGATTTTATCCAGTTTAAAACTTTCCCCTCGATACCATGAGCCTTAACTTTTCTCAGAAGCCTTTGATGCGGTACTCTGTCAAACGCTTTGCTAAAATCTAATTAAATAACATCGTAATTTTCGTCATTATCTACTACCTGGAAGACTTTCCTAATAAAGTCAGCAAATTTGGTAGACAAGATTTTCCCTTTGTAAATCAGTGTTGAGAGTCGTAGATTAATTTGTTTTTCTTTAAATGCGGTCGGATGCAATTTGCTATAATTGATTCAAGAAATTTCCCCACTACTGACGTCAAGCTAATCGGCCGATAATTTGACGCTGATGCTGTCTCCCTTTTTGAATATGGGTACTACATTTACCTGTTTCCACAAGCCTGGGACAACTCCCAGGTCTAATGATTTTGTAAATAAATTTACGAGGGGTCCGCTAATCTGTTCCTTACACTCTTTCAAAACTCGAGGGAAAATGTAATCCGGCCCTGGGGATGAACAGTAATACTGTGGTCATGAACAGTAATACTGTGATCATGGAGAGTAATACTGTGGTCATGAACAGTAATACTATCGTCATGACCAGTAATACTGTGGTCATCACCAATAATACTGTGGTCATGAACAGAAATACTGTGGTCATGAACAGTAATACTGTGATCATGAACAGTAATACTGTGGTCATGAACAGTAATACTGTGGTCATGACCAGTAATACTGAGGTCATGAACAGTAATCCTATGGTCTTGACCAGCAATACTGTGGTCTTGAACAGTAATACTGTGGTAATGAACAGTAATACTGTGGTCATGATCAGTAATAATTTGGTAATGAAAAGTAATACTGAGGTCATGAACAGTAATACGTGGTCATGAACAGTAATACTGTGGACATGAACAGTAATACTGTGGTCATGAACAGTAATACTGTGGTCATGAACAGTTATACTGAGGTCATGAACAGTAATACTGTGGTCAAGAACAGTAATACTGTGGTCATGATCAGTAATACTTTGGTAATGAACAGTAATACTGTGGTCATGATCAGTAATACTGTGGTCATGATCAGTAATACTGTGGTCATGAACAGTAATACTCTGGTCATGAACAGTAATACTGTGGCCATGAACAGTAATACTGAGGTCATGAACAGTAATACTGTGGTCAAGAACAGTAATACTGTGGTCATGATCAGTAATACTTTGGTAATGAACAGTAATACTGTGGTCAAGAACAGTAATACTGTGGTCATGATCAGTAATACTTTGGTAATGAACAGTAATACTCTGGTCATGAACAGTAATACTGTGGTCATTATCAGTAATACTGTGGTCATGAACAGTAATACTGTGTACATGAACAGTAATACTGTGGTAATGAACAGTAATACTGTGGTCATGAACAGTAATACTGTGGTCATGATCAGTAATACTGTGGTCATGAACAGTAATACTGAGGTCATGAACAGTAATACTGAGGTCATGAACAGTAAAACTGTGGTCATGATCAGTAATACTGTGGTCATGAACAGTAATACTGAGGTCATGATCAGTAATACTGTGGTCATGAACAGTAATACTCTGGTCATGAACAGTAATACTGTGGCCATGAACAGTAATACTGAGGTCATGAACAGTAATACTGTGGTCAAGAACAGTAATACTGTGGTCATGATCAGTAATACTGTGGTCATGAACAGTAATACTGTGGTCATGAACAGTAATACTGTGGTCATGAACAGTAATAATGTCGCTATGAACAGTAATACTGTGGTCATGAACAGTAATACTGTGGTCATGAACAGTAATAATGTCGCTATGAACAGTAATACTGTGATCATAACCAGTAATACTGTGGTCATGAACAGTAATACTGTGGTCATGAACAGTAATACTGTGGTCATGAACAGTAATACTGTGGTCATAACCAGTAATACTATGATCATGACCAGTAATACTGTGGTCATGAACAGTAATACTGTGGTCATGAACAGTAATACTGTTGTCATGAACAGTAATACTGTGGTCATGAACAGTAATACTGTGGTCATGAACAGTAATACTATGATCATGACCAGTAATACCATGATCATGACCAGTAATACTGTGGTCATGACCAGTAATACTTTGGTCATGAACAGTAATACTGTGGTCATGACCAGTAATTCTTTGGTCATGACCAGTAATACTGTGGTCATAACCAGTAATACTATGATCATGAACAGTAATACTGTGGTCATGACCAGTAATATTGTGGTCATGAACAGTAATATTGCAGTCATGACCAGTAATACTGTGGTCATGACCAGTAATACTGTGGTCATGACCAGTAATACTGTGGTCATGACCAGTAATTCTTTGGTCATGAACAGTAATACTGTGGTCATAACCAGTAATACTATGATCATGACCAGTAATACTGTGGTCATGACCAGTAATACTGTGGTCATGAACAGCAATACTGCAGTCATGACCAGTAATACTGTGGTCATGACCAGTAATACTTTGGTCGTGAATAGTAATACTATGATCATGACCAGTAATTCTGTGGTCATGAACAGTAATACTGTAGTCATGACCAGTAGTACTGTGGTCATGAACAGTAATACTATGATCATGACCAGTAATACTGTGGTCATGAAGAGTAATACTGTAGCCATGACCATTAATACTGTGGTCATGAACAGTAATACTGTGGTCATAACCAGTAATACATGATCAGATCATGACCAGTGGTCATGTGGTCAGTAATACTGTGGTCATGATCAGTAATACTGTGGTCATGAACAGTAATACTGTGGTCATGAACAGTAATACTGTGGTCATGAACAGTAATAATGTCGCTATGAACAGTAATACTGTGGTCATGAACAGTAATACTGTGGTCATGAACAGTAATAATGTCGCTATGAACAGTAATACTGTGATCATAACCAGTAATACTGTGGTCATGAACAGTAATACTGTGGTCATGAACAGTAATACTGTGGTCATGAACAGTAATACTGTGGTCATAACCAGTAATACTATGATCATGACCAGTAATAGTAATACTGTGGTCATGAACAGTAATACTGTTGTCATGAACAGTAATACTGTGGTCATGAACAGTAATACTGTGGTCATGAACAGTAATACTATGATCATGACCAGTAATACCATGATCATGACCAGTAATACTGTGGTCATGACCAGTAATACTTTGGTCATGAACAGTAATACTGTGGTCATGACCAGTAATTCTTTGGTCATGACCAGTAATACTGTGGTCATAACCAGTAATACTATGATCATGAACAGTAATACTGTGGTCATGACCAGTAATATTGTGGTCATGAACAGTAATATTGCAGTCATGACCAGTAATACTGTGGTCATGACCAGTAATACTGTGGTCATGACCAGTAATACTGTGGTCATGACCAGTAATTCTTTGGTCATGAACAGTAATACTGTGGTCATAACCAGTAATACTATGATCATGACCAGTAATACTGTGGTCATGACCAGTAATACTGTGGTCATGAACAGCAATACTGCAGTCATGACCAGTAATACTGTGGTCATGACCAGTAATACTTTGGTCGTGAATAGTAATACTATGATCATGACCAGTAATTCTGTGGTCATGAACAGTAATACTGTAGTCATGACCAGTAGTACTGTGGTCATGAACAGTAATACTATGATCATGACCAGTAATACTGTGGTCATGAAGAGTAATACTGTAGCCATGACCATTAATACTGTGGTCGTGACCAGTAATACTTTGGTCATGACCAGTAATACTGTGGTCATGACCAGTAATACTGTGGTTATGACCAGTAATACTGTGGTCATGAACAGTAATACTGTGGTCATGAACAGTAATACTGTGGTCATGAACAGTAATACTGTGGTCATGAACAGTAATACTGTGGTCATGAACAGTAATACTGTGGTCATGACCAGTAATACTGTGGTCATGAACAGTAATACTGTGGTCATGACCATTGATACTGTGGTCACGACCAGTAATACTGTGGTCATGACCAGTAATACTGTGGTCATGAACAGTAATACTGTGGTCATGACCAGTAATACTGTGGTCATGAACAGTAATACTGTGGTCATGACCAGTATTACTGTGGTTATGACCAGTAATACTGTGGTCATGAACAGTAATACTGTGGTCATGAACAGTAATACTGTGGTCATGAACAGTAATACTATGATCATGAGCAGTAATACTTTGATCATGACCAGTAATGCTATGATCATGAGCAGTAATACTGTAGTCATGAACAGTATTACTGTGGTCATGAACAGTAATACTGTGGTCATGACCAGTAATACTGTGGTCATGAACAGTAATACTGTGGTCATGACCAGTAATACTGTGGTCATGACCAGTAATACTGTAGTCATGGAGTTTGTGGTGAAATTTTATGTTTATTAATCCTTCCTCTACCCTCCGTCACGTCTGTACCGTCATTCACACACGTCTCTCTTTCATTACAGGTACAGTTACAGCATAAGTACAGCAGCAACCAGGTACAGTGACAGTACAGAAACAATCAGGTAAAGTACCAATACAGCAACATTCAGGTATAGACTCATTATAATTACAGCAACAACCGGATGTGTCTGGTGTACAATTTCGGATCTATTCACGTTACAGAATAGCCATAGCTCTTGAAGCTTTCCTTCTTCTACTTTTATTAAAATATCTGGCCGTCAGCTTTTAAGGTCCTTTTGGTCGTAGAATGTTCTTGTATTATGTAAGTAATTGTAAGTAATTGGTTTGGTGTATTGGACCCGTGGTATGCCTCTTTGGTATATTTCTTCCATCTTCTTATTCCCCGTCTTCTTCTTCTTGTCACGAAGCGGTTAATCAATAATGGAACAGTGCACCACATCTATATATATATACAGTATATATATATATATATATATATATATATATATATATATATATATATATATATATATATATACTGTATATATATATATTGTCAAAGAATCGAATCTCCTTTAATAGGGTGTCGGTGACTGCCATTGCCAAAATATTATATTATTCATGAAGAGGACAGACACTGAGACCCGAGAGTTGGTGCTGTACCTGTGACGTAATTAAGTGGGGATATATACACTCTTAACTCATTTAGTGGTAATTACGATTATGTAATTAGCCTGGATTAAAAACCCCACTCTCTCTCTCTCTCTCTCTCTCTCTCTCTCTCTCTCTCTCTCTCTCTCTCTCTCTCTCTCTCTCTCTCTCTCTCTCTCTCTCTCTCTCTCTCTCATAAATGTGTCTATTCGTTTTGTGTTGCTGTGCAATTTTGTTTCCTATGCTATTTCATTATTTCTGTCTTATTCTGTTAATATTTTGTACTGCATTCTTCCACACACACACACACACACACACACACACACACATGGCCAATATTGGCCCATTTCCTAAGTCCTTCTCCTCGACCCATCCTCACCACCGGGATATCAAGAAAATCCCGCCAAAAGTGACAATTTTGTTTCGGAAAGAGGAGGGATCAGTGTTGAACAGTGATGAACAGTGTTTAAGCCAGTGAATTCAGCACTAGACAGTACCAGTAAGAGCAGTAACCCACCAGTGAGGTTCACACCCAGAGATAAACACCCCTGGGAACTGACCACTACACTATCTTCTGACCAGGCCGTGATAATCAGTCCACCCTGGGACAACCATGGGTATGCTCTACATCTGACCACACGATAAGACAACACTGCTTAGCAGAAAGTGAGGTACTGTGACAGGACACTACACCACCTGGTGTCTCCATGACCACATGAGGTACTTCATATCAAAACCTATGGACGAGTTACTGCACCATGTGAACACCACACCACCCGGTGTCCCCACTTTTTTGCACTTAGTAACTATATCAATTCTCATGTACAGAACCAAATACGCAATGTGCTTGAATACCTCCCACGTAAATGTGAATAACAAAGTGTGAGGCCAGACATACTGCCTCACACGCCTGTACTCACGCATTTGTGAATAAGTTACCCTTTATGTATAGAACTAAACAAATAATGTAAATGAAATACTGTGTAACTTTCAGTGCCATAATATCCTGACAACGGGGGTTAATTATTATGACCCTTTGTAAACCCTACTCTGTAATCCTTTTGCGCTACCGCTCACAGGATGAGTGTGGGGTGCACAATAAAGTAGCCGCTGCAAGCGGCAAAATCAAAATCAATCCATGACCACTTGAGGTCCTTCATATCAACCCCTTTGGACGAGTTAGTGACATCGGCCAATGTATCATCCTTCAGATTATTAAATGCTTTTTTGGGGCATTATTCTTGTTATGATTTCTTTCGCACATTACCATTACACCTACTTTTATGCTTCTCAAATACACAATTTTTTCCACTTGCTTAAGTTCACAGTTACCTACCATAATTTTTATTTTAGGATTTATTTCCTATTTGGAAACAACCATTACTTTCGTCTTTATAGCATTAATTCTTAACCCATATTCTTCACCCTTTTCCACTAATCTGTAGACCAGTTTTTGTAACCATATCGTTTATTTGATATTACTCTACCATTAACTTTTATTACTTCATTGCCACCTACAACGCCTGACCTCGCTAGGGGAAAGGTCACGGCATACTCAGCTCCCTGGGATAAATTGTTGGTAATAGCTAGTGCTACTTGTGAACAGGACTGTACCCTTTTGAGGGCTGAGCTACTGGCGGAGTTAGTGAAAGTAAAAAAAGAAAACTTGAAATTAATGTAAGTGATAGCGAGGATGAAGGAAGAAGACAAGAGACAAGGAAAGCCCGTGTCTGACGAAAACTCAGGCGAATGGAAGGTTGTGAGGAGAGGAACGACCAAATGATAGTGAGAAAAGACGCCAAGGAAACGACAACAGCTAAGTGTAAAAACTCTTTCAGTCCTTTGATAGACGAATTGGACGTTACCATAGTTAGGGACAGTGCTTTTTGTGGTAAAAATAAAAATAGGATGAGAGTGTGTTTGCCATTAGAACACGACTAACTTAAATGTCTACTACGCAAACAGTTGGAGTATGAAAAATAAAATGGATGAAATTAGGGTGTTGGTATGTAACGAAAAAATCGGTGTAATAGCATTCACCGGAACATGGATAAACTTAGACTCACGTGAGTTACCTGCCGAATACCAAATTGCAGGTTACAAATTATTCCATCCCGACAGGCACATTAGGAAAGGAGGCGGAGTAGCAATCTATGTCAGGGATAATCTGAAGTGTGAAATAAATAAGGAAATAAAAACTGAACTGATTACAGAAACAATTTGGATAGAATTAATCAATGGTAGAGAAAAATTAATCGCAGAAGTAATATATAGACCTCCTAATCTTGATAGAGTTAATGAACGACTTATTTGGGATGAAATACCCAGGGCTTCCATACATACCAAATAGATTGGACCGACTTTACAGGTAACTTAGAATCAGATGATTTTCTTGAAACAGTTCAGGACTGTTTCCTAAGTCAACATATAACCGACCCACCCGGGGTAATAATTTACTCGATTTAGTTATGTCAAACAGAAAAAACCTCATTAGTTATGTCAAGGTAGGGAACGAACTTGCCAACAGCGATCATAAAGAAATAAGATTTCAATTAAAATTTAATGGCAGTCGCAAGGAAAAATTCATTAAAGTCCCAGATTTCAGAAGGACAAACTTCGATACGTTGAAAAGGCAGCTGAGAGAAGGAGTATCACATTTGGGGATGAATTACATAACCTCGCGTAAGGTGACCTCACACAATGTACCCACAGAGGCCGATTTCACTTTACCTGGAGATCCTGACAATGATATTCTCACAAAATATGACGGTTAAAGATGACCTGATCACGAGATCTGAGGTTGGCGAGTTCTAAAACAATTTAAATAATGAGTTACTTATTGCACAAAGGCAGAACATACCATACATGAAAGTCAGTTCAGACAACAATGACCCTAAATGGTTAATAATTATTTTGATAATATTATTGGACAAAGGAAGGCTATAGGTAGAAAAATAAATCGTGGTGAAGTTTACCTCGGAGATTATTATAAGGTATTGGCCGGTAGGGTTAAAACCGAGATAAGAAAAGCAAAGAGGAATAATGAACTGAAGGTAGCAAGGGAGGCGAAGTCTAACCCCAAGGGATTCTTTCAAATGCATCAAATTAAAACACGAGAGACGATTGGACCAATACAGTCAGATATTTGCGAGCTAATGGATAATGACAGAGAAATGAGCAATAATCTGAATAAAATTTTTTCAAAAGTTTCACCACCGAAAATTTAAACATGATACCCGAGGCCCAGAGATAGTGAAAAAATAGATGAAGCAAAATAGTAGTGACTAGTAACGATGTTATTAAGCAAATAGACAAGTTAAAGCCTAATAAGTCACCAGGTCCCAAAGAGATATTTGCCAGAGTATTAACAGAATGTGCGGAAGTGCTTAGTATGCCCTTAACAAATTTGTTTAACATGTCATTAAAAACGGGTGTAGTACCAGAATCCTGGATGATTTTCAAGAAGAGAAATAGATCACTATCCTCTAACTACCATCCAATCAGTTTAACATGAATTGTCGGCAAATTGCTGGAAGCAATAATTTCAAACTGTATTCGAAATAACCTGGAGAAGCAGAAGTTGATCAATGATTCCCAACATAGCTTCATAAGTGGGCGTTCATGTCAGACTATTCTATAAACATTATTTTCAGCTGTTTTCGAATCAGTGGACGACGGGCACGATTATGATGTGGTATATCTCGACTTTAGCAACGCCAACTACAGAGTCCCTCACGAAAGACTAATAGGAAAAGTGGAGGCTCATGGCATTGTAGGAGATATTCTAAAATGGTTTAAGGCGTGGTTGCAGGACAGGAAACAGCGAGCAGGCATTAACGTCACAAAATCCGACTGGGGTAACGTCACTAGGCTCTGTACTTGGCCCATTAATATTTATTATATACATAAACGACATAGATATAGGCGTAGACAGCAACATAAGTAAATATGCTGATGACACTAAAATAGGTCGAGTAATTATATCTCACGATGACTCCACATAACTACAGGAAGATCTAAACCAATTTCTGAAAAATGACATGAAATTTACTGTGGACAAATATAAAAAGTACTTAGTCTAGGAGATGTTAACAGAGAAACCGGATATCAAATTAACAATGTTGTTATTGAGAAATCCGACTGTGAGAAAGATTTGGGAGTAATGATAAGTAGAAATTTTAAACCAAGTCAACAATGTGTATTTGCTCGAAACAAGGTTAACAAAGTACTTGGGATCATACAAAGGAGTGTTAGTTACAAGACTAGCTAGGTTATCCTAAAACTATATCTTGCGCTTGTGAGATCTCACTTGGATTACACAGTTCAGTTCTGGTCACCGTACTACAGAA